GCAACTCAAGCGTGGGGGCCTCGCCACATCCACCGCCGCACACCACTCCTCGGACACACCACCTTAAAGCGCACGGGGGCCTCGCCACTCCCGCCGCTGGACTCTTCGAGGATCCGGGCTTGCTTCGCCGTCGGGGTGACTTGGTACCACCGAGCTGCTCCATTAACTTCACCTTTGTCTAGCCACCACCAGAATCTCAGCTGCACCACGTGCACGGACACAAAGCTTCCAGAGACACAGCTCACCACCTTGGCCTTCACCTCACCCGATCGGATTGGGACATCAACACGAGCCTCAACGGAAAAACCTCCGCTCGGTCGGATTGGGTCATCAACCCGAGCCTCCACTTTGCTAACATCACCACACCGCATTGCCCACTCGTCGCCACCATACGAACACCTCCACGGCCCCCTTGCTGCCTTCCTCGCGCCGCGCCGAGCCAGAGCCTCTTGGCCTTCAAGAAGCAGCCAGGTTCCTCTAGCCACGCCACCATGGCGCCACTGGTGCCCCTGGTTGGCTACTGCTAGCCACACCACCATGGCGTCACTGGCACGCATCCAAGCAAGCCGCTATCGGCCACGCCACCACGGCACAGCCAATGTACCTCTACAGTCGGCCGGAGTGGGAAAACACCATGACAACGCCTCCAAGGAGGAAGACGATGCCCGAAGGCGTCGTCGTCTTGCCGGCAGATCCGACATGGCTTTCGTCGGTGCTCGCCCACATCCAGCACAATCAAAATAGGGAGCCTTGAAGTCACACCACCCCTGCCCTCCAACGCCGCCCGCACCGGCGAGTTCCGACCGGATTGGCATGGACGACAGTAGCTGTAGCCACGAAATGGCCGGATCCGGAGGAAGAGGAGCTGGAGTAGCCTTGCCGCCACACCCGTGCAGGCGCACGGGCCCCTACCGCAGCCACAGCCACGCCCGCATCGACGCCCTGGCCTTCGTCGCTGCCATAGCCACGACGCCATAGATCCACGGCGAGGGGCACCATATCTGCGTAGAGCTCGGCCCGCGGATGCCGGAACCACCGGAGGGCGGAGGCAGCGGCGGCAGCAACACCACCACCCCGCCATAGTCACCCGCGTAGCCAGAAAAACACCCTGCCACCGCCCTCCTCGTGGCCACCGGCCATCGGTGGCGCGCTCCGGCGGCGGCGAGGGGAAGGGGGTTGGGAGGGGGAGGCCCGGCGGTGGGGGGCGAGGGGCTCCGCCCGAGCCGCCTAGGCGGGCGATGCGGGGGTTGGGGAAAAGAGAGCTAGGAGGGCTAAACCATGGAGTCTTAGCTTAAGGAACTGTGGTAAACTTTGTAGGGCTACATGACTATGACAAGTTTGCTTAAAAGAGTTTGGTCTAACTCGGATTAGTTAGAGAGAACCAACGCTCCAAAGAGGGGTACATGAAACTAAATCCCAGACTTAGAACATTCAGGCATCGACAAGGAAGTTTAGTACAAGTAGCTATTTTGGGAGCTGATTCTGAAGGTCCAAACTGGATCCAGACTTGATGAAACTTATTTTGTTGTCATCTCCATGGATAGTACTTCAACTCATATTAAGGAATCCAAGTGAGCTGCCATATGAATTTGGAATATAAAATGTCGCAAACATGTCAACTCACAGCTGTCAATCAGGGACAAATATTTCAGAGGGGCCAAAACAGCACTGCATTCACTTTTGGAGGCCTTGATAGACTAAGTTAAAGACTAAACTAGCTCTTGACACTTAAACAAAGTTTATTCTACTTAAGCAGAACTACAACTTTTATTTAAGGTCCAACTCCATGCAAGCAATCCAAATAGTTAGTCAATACAAGTCAAAACCATATCATAAAAAAGACAATTCTAGCTATTTCCCACACTTAGAAGCATTTTTCTTGACACATGATCAACATGAACCCTTAATAACTTTTGTTCATGAGTTGAATTAGAGCTGTTTGAGCAAGGTTGCAATGTTTGTTTGACATCACATGTTCTCATTCACTTAATAAAGCAATTCAGGCAAGGACATAACTTGTCATTTTATGTGACTTCTTGATTCCAAACTTCATGAAACTTTTCCAATCATCAATGTGGGTGGAAATTGATGTGAGGCACATGAAAGAAGCACCTTCAACATTACTTAGGTATATATCTAAAAAGGGCCAACATGCAAGCAAAGGTGTGTTGCCCAAGTTTAAGTTGGAACTCATTTTCATAGATTTGCCTTGACACCTTCATCACCACTTCCGACATAAGGAACTAAGGATCCTGATTACCACTTAACATGTCATGTTTGAGCTCAAACCCATTGCTTCACTGGGGACAAACACCTAGGGTGTTACAGCCCCGACCCCGCACTCAAGGGCTGTGGTACCGGCGCAACGCTTGCTGGTACTTGGCCGAGCAGAGGAGGGCAACGTCGCGTGCTTCATCTAACTAGTCCATGGCATCCTTGAGGGATGCCTTAGCTCCCTGTTCATTGTATGCCCTGACCCTCGGTGCTCCATAATCGAGGTCAGTCGGGAGGATAACCTCTAAACCATAGACCATGAAGAATGGCGTGTAGCCAGTGGCCTGGCTAGGGGTCATCCTCAGGCTCCAGAGCACCATGGGAAGCTTCGCAACCCATCGTCTGCCAAACTTGTTCAACTAGTTGAAGATCCTAGGCTTGAGGCCTTGTAGGACCATACCGTTCATGCGCTCGACCTGCCCGTTCATGTGGGGGTGCACCACGGTGGCCCAATCGATGCGGATGTGGTATTCATCGTAGAATCAGAGGAACTTTTTCCCAGTGAACTATGTGCCATTGTCTTTGATAATGGAGTTCGAGACTCTAAAGTGATGGATGATGTCAAGGAAGAATAGCACGGCTTGCTCAGACTTGATCGTGGAGATCGGTTGAGCCTCTATCCACTTCGTAAACTTGTCTACAGCGACAAGCAAGTGCGTATAGCCCCTAGGCACCCTCTTGAGAGGTCCAACTAGATCAAGCCCCTAGACCGTGAATGACCATGTGATGGGGATTGTTTGGAGTGCTTGGGCCAGCAGGTGGGTCTGCCGAGCGTAGTATTGACACCCTTCATAGGTGCACATAATCTGTTCAGCATCGGCTACTACGGTCGGCCAGTAGAAGCCTTGTTGAAACGGGTTTCCAACCAGGGTCCTAGGTGCATCATGGTGCCCATAGACCCCACCATGGATATCACTCAGCAACTGCTTCCCTTCTTCAATGGGGATGCAGCGCTGTAGGATCCCGGTGTGGCTTCGCCTGTAGAGCTCGACCTCAATAACGACAAAGCACTTGGCACGACATGCGAGCCGCCGAGCCTCCGTTTTGTTCATCGGCAGCGCCTCACGGAGGAGGTAGTTGAGGTAAGGCATCCTCTAGTCGACTAGAGGGTCGGGCTCTATCGCTGGATCCTCGTCAAGCTCTATGACTTCGGGGTCGGATGGAGCCGTCGGCTGGTAAGCCCCTGAGCCTAGGGCAGGCGGCCCATCACCGGTCTGTTCTAGCTCCATGTAGCGGACCGAGGGCTTGTACTAATTGCTAGTGAAGACTCCCGTCGACACCGGCTCTAAGCTAGATGCCATTTTTGCCACTGTGTCGGTTGCCTCGTTGAGACGCCTCAGGATGTGATTGAGCTCGAGACCGTCAAACTTGTCCTCCAGCTGGCGGACTTCTCGACAATACGCAGCCATCTAATATGAGGGATGTAGTAGTCAGCAGAGAAATCACAGATTCTGTACCTCTTGGTAATCAATTCATATCCTGCAAACTACTGCTCCGTTGTGCATGAATTTTTGTAGGCATTTAGATCCAAGAGTCTTCTAACTACTGACCAAAATTCAGCTCAAATGGACACCGTTTGACTATCCAAACCAATTATCTACCAAAACCGCTCAGTTCTAAAATTTTAGTGACCCAAACTAACAAAACATCTCTCAAATTCAATGCTTTACTCTCTCAAATCCGATGCTTTACTCAACCAATACTCAAATCAACTTAAGGCGTCGAAGTATCCTAAGCGAGGAATGAGCTCGTCAAGTTTTGGGACAATTCAACTATGTTTGAGCCTCTAATTACTTGCTTAAGGATAATCAATTGAGTGCCATGAAATCTCGATGGATTTCACACTCTTCTTTTCCTTTGCTTCACCTGTTGTGAAGTGTGTTCTGCACTCTCTAACTCTTTTTATAACAGCGGTAGCTTTCTTGCTGAGGGTGGAGGCTGGGGTTTTTCTCACCTGCTTCCCAAGGAACAACTTCAACCGTTGATTTAGGCATTAACTCAATGATGCACAAGCATTGGACTGGTGGGCTATTTTTGTAGGGCACAATACATACTTCACGTGGAGAGGCAGTCCTACAAGATAAGGGACCGTTGCTGACTATCCTTCGGTGCTTCATCCAATAGGGTCCTGAATAAATCCTTTGGTAGCACCTAGATGCATAGTGACGCTGTTCTCAACTAAGGACGCACTTTCTCTAGCTCTTTATCTCACCGATATCACATATTGTACTATCTGTGTGATTGTCCAAGATAGAATTGCCTTGACGACACCGGATCTATGAAGAAAGTAGTACTTGCATCGCTGGACGGCTTTTCTGTTTCTTTACTTAATATTGTTCTGTGATACAGCATTCAGGGATACCAAGAAGTTATTATCTTGCTGTAACATAACTTTTGTATTAGTAACTAATTAGTTGTCTCTCAACATTTAAAAGCTTCAAAACTTCCTTTTTGACGGCAACAGTTGCATTTGATGTGTAAATAGACAGTCGCCGTGAAAGTTAGTAGAAAAGGGGTCCCTAAAGAAAGTCAGTTTTTGACTGCAGGATCACCTTGCACGTAAAGATCAAAGACTAGAAAGTTCGTAACCACCGGGATTCATGTCAAGATGCTGCAGCGGGCGGCGAGCAACGCCTACTCGTGGTGGTGGGCGAGCCACATCAGGACCACCCAGTCCAAATGGCTCGACGCAAACCTGCAGGGTCAGTTCCGGTTCCGACTCCCACATGTTTTTCATTCATCTCCTGCTAGTCAAGATCATGCTTAAACTCCTCGGACAGGAAGCCGATTCCTTTGGCAAGAGGGCCGAGATGTATTACCACACCAGACCAGAGGTGATAAGCCATGTGGAGCAACTCTACAGAGCTTACAGAGCTCTCGTCGAACGCTATGACCACATATCCAAGGAGCTCCATAAGGCCAACCACACCATTGCTACTGCTTGTCCAGAAGAGGTACAGTATGCAATGTTAGAAGAGGAGGATCATGATTTCCCCAAAACAATCACACCAATTAACTCGCACAAGGTACACAAGTCCACGGTCCAAGAGATTCTCAACGCAAAGAGACAAGGTCCGTCAGGGTGGAACAAGCTACCCTCCGATCCACACATAAGCACCGAGGAGGCGCGAGAAGAGATCGGCAGACTTCAGAAAGCTATACTTGTTCTGCAAACCGAGAAAGAGTATGTTAAGAGTTCTTACGAGAGTGGTATTGCTCGGTACTGGGAGATCGAGAAGCTGATTGCAGATACACAAAAGGAAATCTGTGTTATTCAGGACAAATTTGATGCACATGGAGCCATCGGTGATGATGAAGCCCGTGTCTTGATGACAATAACAGCTCTTAGATCTTGTCAGGGAACCATTTCTAAGCTTGTACGTCATTTTGAGGAGTTGATCAGGCTTGCAGCCGTGGAGTTGGAATAAACAAGGTCTCTCCGAGCACAGCTGTATGCTATGGATGGCAACACTGACACATCCTCAAGAGAGGCAAGCAGCACAGGCACGTCGGTGAACGCAAGGTCTTACCCGGTTACCCAGACAATACTTGAGTTGCAGCCCATATATGAGAAACTTGACAAGTTTTTTGCCAGTGGTTCTGAATCCTCTGCGGAGGAGATTGCAGAGAATGTTGATGAACTTGTTGATAAAGTCATCAACTTGGAGCTCAAATTCCCAAAACAGACAGCACAAATCAATCAACTCATACAAGAGAATGAGAACCTAAAGAATAAACTGGATGAGTTACAAGACGAGATGGCACTTCGTGATGACCAAAGCAACTTAAATGAACAGATCAAGCAATTAGAGGATGAGTTTAGAACAGTCCGAGTTCTTGAAAGATCAATAATTGAGGAAGAAGCCTCTGTCAGCATAGGCTTTTCTGAAGTTTTTAGCTGCATAATTAATATCTCAAAGGCACTTGGATCTGTTGGTCCTGAAGACCTGCATAATTTGTCAACTGCGGTAGGGGATGGTGCAACGGTTTTAAAAGATGTGGTCCTGGAGCACTCTACAGAAGAGAGCAAGGGTGGGAAGTTCAGAGACATAGATGCACCAACTCTAAGTCATAGTTTGGGCCAAGATAGAGAAAATGTCTCGGAAGTGGTTAATGATAATGGTAACGATGGCATTCATGGCTCGAGGAATGCTAATGAGGAAAAAAATCCCTGGGAGTTGCTTAATGCAGCAAGTTAGATACAAATCGTCTATACATTGTGAGAACCATATCAATCCGTTTGTCAGTTCAGAAAATGAAAACAGAGTTCATGATTCAGGTGAGGGCAATGTTGATAGCTCACCAGGAGAAGTATTCCAGAGTTCATCAGAAAATGAGAATGGAAGTAGAAACTTCCCTAAAGGCGAAATTGTGAGAGGTGAATATCCATTGGGAATTGTCAGACAGACTCATCTCCTCCGCTCAGGTAGTATGGATACTTTAGACAAGAAATATGGCTCTAATAAAGCTTCTCAGTCATTAATGGAGGTTGCTGAGGGAAATATTGATGATGGAAGTTCTTTTACCAGCAGTAGTGTAATCCAGGAGGAAGGACTTGGAGATAGTAAATCACAAAATACCAGTGGGCAGATTAGTCCAATTGCTTCCTCAGAGTTGTACAGTTTAAAGGAAAAAGATTCCCTAGAAGAATCCTCATTGCCAGAAGCTACGTGTTTCAGTGGTGCCGATAAGAACCTGCACTTGGGGCATGCAAATGAAGCACAATCTGTTGAAGAATTGCCAGACCAAGGTGGTCAACTAAATGGGCCACAAAATATTGAAAGTTTGAACGAATGCAGCCAAGTTGGATTGCTCAAAGAGGATGACTGCATTTCATTAGGTCATGTTGATAATATCCAAGATATGAAGAACAGGTATTCCTCAGAAGTGAGGGATGAAACTTCTCTCTGTGTGCCAACTGGAGATTCTGAGCAAGTTCTGACAAACTTAGAGAAGAAGAGTTCACATGGCAAAGAGCTTGCAAGCGAAGCAACTACCTCGAACAACCATGGAGGTAGGAGTCAGGGTGAAAATTCTGGTTTGATGGGAGAGGAATTTGTACCTAGCTGGCAAGAATTTCTTCTTGATGGGCTTGAAGGTAGAGAAGCAATCCTACTAGCTGAGTATCCTTCAGTTCTGCGGAACTACAAAGAAACAAAGAGAAGGCTTACCGAACTGGAAAAGAAAAACCAGGAGCATCTTGAAGAGACAAAAGCAGTTATACGGGAGTTAAGGAATGCAAATTCCATGAAGTATGTTGAGATTCGGTCACTAAGAGATCTCTTAGATTCCTCGAAGATGCCTCCCAGTAAAGTGGGTAGTAACTCAAACGGTTTCTTAAGTGTGAGATCTTTTAGAGAAGTTGACAGGTCAAATGGCACTTTGGGTACAGATATTTCAACTGTGGAGGAAAGCAGTTCTAGCAACATCGATGCACCTAACAACACGTCACTTTTTGAAGTGAGGTTCAGAAATGACATTGACGCTTTGGTGGAGGAAAATTTGCAGTTCCTGGTAAGGTATAGCATGGCTTGCCATCACATGGAGGAGTTTGACAGAAGATACCAGGAGGTACAGAATGAAATGGAGAACATGGAAGATAATAAGACTGGAGAACCTGATACTCGAGCAGAGCCCGAACCAGCTGAAAAGAAGTTGAGAGAGCTCCGAACTGAACTGGATGTACGGTTTGAGCAGAACGCGCTTCTCGATCAAGAAGTGCAGCTTAAGTCTGCATATTTTGCAGACTGCAAGAGGAGATAGCCGAAGCCCTGCGTGGTAGCTTGGAGATGGACAGAGACAAGTTGTTTACACCATATGAAGCTGCCAAGTTTCAAGGGGAGGTCCTAAACATGCAGCAATCTAACAGCAAGATTGAGAACGAGCTGCAGGCAGCATCAGAACGAATGAGGGGGCTTCAAGCCAAGGTTAACCACGCCCTAGAGAAGCTACGTGAGAGTTTTGAGTTTTCATCCCAACACTTGTCGCAGCCAGAGACTGAAAGTAGTTATGGGAAACAGTTCAAGCATTTTCCAAGTAGGACAAGGGTACCGTTGCGGAACTTCCTGTTTGGAACAAAGCGAAAGAAGAAATCAATATTTGCATGCATCAATCCCACACTCCAGAAACAGTTCAGCGATTTGTGAGGTGTGTGAGTGTGCTCTTTTTGCATCTCGAGTTCCAGAAACGTATTCATTTCAGTAGCTGACATGATTCTATTGTTTGCACTTGTAGTGAAAAAAGATGTTGAAGGATGCATGTGGTAGCAGCTAGAATTTGGCTCATCTCCAATCAACAGATATAAGAGCTTATCGGGTGGGATAGCATGACCATAGTTTTCCTTGTTTTGAAAAACTTATCGTTACACCATTGCTCACCGGGCAAAAAATGAACAATAGTTGTATATATCACCGTTGATCTCCTTGTACCTGGGGGTAGTTTTGTTTCCCAGGGTACAATTAAGAGCAGGTTTTGTTTGACTTTAGCTTGTGTTTGTTTGGAATGGTAATTTGTCCATTTCATTTGATTGAGAATTTCAGAGAAATAAACAAGGCAAATTATTTGGAGAGTACTAGACGAGTACAGCGTGAATAACATTATAGCAAACACACATCTTATTCAGTTGAGACTTATTCCAACTCATACAACATGAAACGCCTGATATGAAGATGTTGAGAAGCTCCCCTCCCCTGGGGATGATCAGATCAGATCAGGCTACCGGGCTTTGTATCTGCAAATACAAAGATGAGTCAGTACCGGCCCGTTAATATATATATATATATATATATATATATATATATATATATATATATATATATATATATATATATATATATATAAAGAGCACCGATGTTACCCCGAACTTGTTCATCAAGGCAGCAAGCTGCAGACGGCGATCCCCCCAGGTCGCTGCGTAGGCATCTATCTTGTTCAGCTCCTGCAGTTACGTTATTGCACAGGATGTAATGTAATGTAATGTAATGTAATTGTGCGGAGTTAACAGAAGAAATTATATATAGATGATGGTTGAATTTGATTGGTGCACGCAGTGGCAGTGACGCACACCTCTATCCACTCCTTGAGTTTAGGCCTTGCTTGTGTCATGTCGTAGTGCTTTACTGCAGCGAAGAAATCCTTGAAGCGTTCGACAAAGGGCGCATAAACCATGTCGACCTGCATATATAGATGCAATTCGGTTATTGTCAGCAAAACTAATTAAAAAACGATGGACTAATAAGTGATTGATGAGTTTACTGACTGCGCTCATGGACTTCCCCAGGAGGAATGGCCCATCGGAGAAACGTCCCAGGGACGACTCCACCTTGTCAAGAGCAGGAGCAAGCAGCTCACTGATATCATCATCTCCTTGTCCTTGGGCTTGGGCACGGCCTGCCCTGAACAAGGCTATAATGACCGAATCGCTGCTGGCAATCAACTCATCAGCAAAAGCTTGCTTTGCAGGGTCCTGATCACGAGGAAACAGCTTGGGGCCCTCAAAGTTGGCGTCCAGGTAACTGAGTAGATCCAAGGACTCTGCTATGATGTTGCAATTGTGCTCCAGGACTGGGAGCTGCACTGCACAGCACAGCATATTGATTAGTAATTGTTGATGATGAAAAAGAAAAGAAAAACAATTAATTGTGATGTGTTCCTCAGAGGAAATGGTTGACCTTGCCCGGTGGGTAAACTTTCTCGAGGAACCTTCAATTCATCATCATATTCAGATGGATTAAGTGAAAGGCAGGTTAGTCGGTTGGATTGAGTTTGAAACTGATATTTTATATAAGTATGTAAGATTTGATAGAGTAGCATGCAATGCAATACGATCCTAGTCCTAGCTAGCTACTGAGTAATACAAGCTGCTACTCCTAGTAGTTATATTACCAAGCAGGCTTGTCTTGCAAATCAATGGCAACCAGCTGAATCTTGTCTTGTAACCCCTGCCCAACAACAAACCAAGCTTTATAGCCAAGGAAATCCTTGGGAGACGGAAGGTAGGGTACGGGAATCAAGCACAAATTGGCGTGGCGCCTAGGCGCCTACCTTGAAGTTCCTAGCTATCCAAACTCTCTGCACATATGGGCATATGTAGGAGATGTAGAGCCTTGTTGTGCCATCGAAGAGGTTTGGTGGTTGAGAACCGGAACCCAGGGTTGGGGGCAGCACCTCCTCCGCTTTCGTCTCTCTGCACGCATAACATGCGGATGCTGGATCAGATCCGGCCGTCAGCAGGAAGCAGAGCCATCTCCCTCTCCCTCTCATACCTGACGGTGGAGTCATCGGATGCCGCCGACGTCGCCATATAGCCTGATCGCCGGACGGAAGGCTCCTGCCCCCTGAGCAGCTCAGCTGAGGTACCTCTCCTTCCTGCTTGCTTTCAGTGGAACAAGCTAGCTAGATGTAGTAGTTACAGGAAGGAAGAGGAAGGCAAGGCGACCAGATCTGATGTAGATCAGGATCAGCACATGTGGACATGTGGTACTAGTACCATAGCACTAGAAACGGAATATTGTATTCTTTATTTTTACAATAATTGTCCGAGTAACCCACGCACGCTATAAATGCACGCGTTTCATGCTGAGGCCAGTCACGGTCACACTCACACGCAAATCATGACATTTCATATTTTCTTAGACACCACCAACCGTCCCCGGACCACCCGACACGGCTACTCTTGGTCCAATCCTTAGCTTCATGCGTTGCTACGGTAATTTTGTAACTCTAGTTTCGTGGATTGAGAAATACTCCCTCCATCCCGTTTTACGTCGCGTGACAGCCTCTGTTCAAGATACCAAGACACGTAGTAAGGGCTTATTTCCCTTTAAAATTTTAGCCCTGCACTTTTATAGCTTATTATTTTACCACAGGGATATAAACAGGTAGGTTAAAAGTAAACAAATAAAGTGAACTAAAGTTTTGCACATTTGCATCTTCATGAGATGCAAAATTGAGCTAAAACTTCTTGGGACGAGCTGGATGCCAGATAGCCCTCACCCACCTACCCGCGTCGTCTCTCTTTCATGGTTTAATTAAATAAGGATAAAGTAGTTATTATAAGACAGAGGACTAAACTTTTATCCAAACACCCACTGCTGACAAAAGTTTAGCCGTAGCAAATGGAATCAAACAGGTCTAACTCAGCTCTAGTAAACACCGTGCGTCGAGCGCATCGAAACTGCATGCCCATCTGTCGCGCGCTTTTTCCTCTCCCAAAAAAAACTGAGCCAATCTTGTCTCGTTCAGCATGCCGGAACTGCATGTTGCTTAGTTTTTTATTAATAATGCGGCGCCTGGTATATGGGAACGGAGGGAGCAGTAAATAAAGTTATACTATATATATATATATATATAATATTCATATATACGTCTTTTCAGAAAAATTTTGGAAACAGAGTGAATTTATGATAAAAAAGGTTGAGAAAATAATGTACATTTTTTAAAAAAAAAATACTTTGGGTTGTATTGGCAGGAGAGGCTAGAAGTAGAGTTAGACTATGTAATTTGGTCTCCTCGTAAATATGAGAGCAATGTTGTGTTCTAATCACGATGATATAGAGACAAGCTCATAATGAGGGCGGCGACACGTTGCCGAAACCCTAGAGCGGCCGATGTTGTTACTAGGAGCGTTTGTGGTCATATCCTAGGGATATGGGCTTTGGCTAAACCTTGTTAACAAATATCGTGCCACTGACGTCGTCTGTAAACTTGTATGTTTGTCTCGATAGATCTAATTAATGCTTCCGCACGTGGAGGTTAGTAAATATCTTACCATTGTGGGAGCTAATTTCTAACATATATGTCCTCGTCAATCATTGTTTTGGTCTTAAATCTTGATCAGTAAAATTCAGCAATGGTCCTCAAATTTGTCTTGAGGTGTCGTCTCTAGAATCTTAAAATATTTTTTGCTTCCTAATGTTATAATGGGTCTCATCTATATGTTCAAACGGGAGTATACCCGACCTACTATCCCACGTGGCACAAAACTGCATATGGGATGCACATGTCAGCGGCAAGGCTCCACCATAGAAAAATTCATATATTTTCCATACAAGCTCAGATAAAGATGTTTTTATATAAAAATTATAGCTCTTAATGAGATCCACAACTTCATAGTTTTGAGTTTTTTATTTGAGATGGTTAAGATGCTAAAAATAATATAAGTTCCAACATAATATTAATCACATACCAGAGCTTGTCACCTTAGAAAAAATTAATCTTTCTTGTATGGTGTCGGATAATAAAGATATTTTGTATATAAAAGTTGTATCACTCGATGAGATCTACAACTTTCTACTTTGAGATTTTTAATTTGAAGTTCTTTAGATTTAAAAAATGATATATGTTGCTCGAATTCTATATTATTATTTTGAGCATCTTAACCACTTCAAATGACAAAACTCAAAACTATAAATGTGTAGATTTTATCGAGGGCTACAAATTAAATTATACAAAGTATCTTTATCCGACACCATACAAGAAAAATATAATTTTTCTAAGGGGAAGCCTTGGTCCACGATTAATTGAAACTTTATATTACTTTTAACCATTTTAACGACCTCAACTAACAAAACTCAAAACTAGGAATTTGTAGATCTCATCGAGAACTATAGTTTTCATATACTTCCTCCGTTCTAAATTATAGTTCGTTTAACTTTTTTGACTTCAAGTTTGACCGCTTGTCTTGTTCAAAAAATTGTGCAAACATAGTCAAATTTAAGTCATTCTTGAAGAACTTTTATTAATAAAGCAAGCCACAACAAAAAAAATGATATTTAGCTCAAATTTTTTAATAAGACGAGTGGTCAAACTTAGGGTAAAAAAGTCAAACGAACTATAATTTGAAACGAATTTAGTATAAAGTATCTTTATCCAACACCATACAAGGAAGATATGATTTTTATAAAGCGACAAGTCTTGGTATGCAATTAATATGCCACTAAAAGTTTATTATTTTTTAACTTCTTAGCGTCCTTAAGTGAAAAAATACAAAACTAGTAATTTGTAGATCTTATCGAAAGCTACAATTTGGACATCCTGGTCGTCGGGAAGGGGATTGGAAACGCCACCCCCACGCTTGGACATGCGTACCTACCGTCCCCATCGCCAGCCAGTTAGCCACGCCCTTGCATAGATCCAGCCCAAGGAA